GTCGAGAGGCAGAGGTCGGGTTCGAACCACAGACCTTCCAGCCAGCGTACCGAAACGATTCCACATCGCTCCTTTTTTCTAGTCACGTGATCTCTCTGGGCCTTTTCTCAGGGCCAGCATTAAAACTGTGTTCTTGCTCATCTGAGCGATAGTATGGGCTGATTTTGAATGTGTAACGAACCTTTCACATGACCTTTGAAAGATGATTACAACCAACTTACAAGTCACCTCGGTTCACGATGGCACTTCCGTACAAACATTATAAACGCAAATTTCTCCCTGTACTAATAAATCGCAAAACCAAATAGCACAACGCGACAATGGCAATGATCAGGATATCCTACCGGTTGTTCCCCTCAGCTACATAGCTGAATTGACTTCTGACTTGTCTTCCAGCGTGTTCTGATCACTCACCGTTTTTCAATTCCAGGAAACGCTGCTGGAGCAGTTACGGAAGCCGAAGATCACAGTAGCTGACCTTTCTCGTCCACCAGAGGTGAGTTTTTTTTTGGTTTTCGGTCCGCTTTTGATATCCCCACGGCAAAAACACGCGTGATGTCTTTGTGCCTCTTTGTAGGCGGCCTCTGTACGTCACATTTAGGTGAAGAATATCATAAACGAGACATTCATCTTGATCTGTGGTTAACACCGCTGATGAAGACCATCTTTTTTGCTAGCTTCTTTCCTTTTGATGGAGGGCCACAACAAGCACGTGATAGCGATTCCTCCCGACTGACGCTTTTTCCCAGGAGGGCCAATAACTGTGTTCTTGGTCATCCTCTGCTCAGAATGCTACTCATCTATTCTCCCATATCCCATGGCTACCTCTTCAGATGGACCACCTCTGCAATCGCGATCTAGGGTAAAACGTCGGTTTTCAACGCCGAAACTTCACTGCTCATTGTATCACATACTCTTAGAGTAGAGTACTGTCGTCTCACAATATCTACCAAGTTCAAATCGCACTTGTTCGTGATACATCCTTATCGATTTCGCTGTTTCCTGTGGTCCATTTTAGGAAAGTATACTGTTACATCTGGTGTTCCTCAGTCTGATGAAATTCCAGCACGAAGAAGGACGACTTCCGGAACCCTGGTTGGTTTTTCGCAACTTTACTCGCGTTTTTTAGTCTTTTTCCTGCTGCTGATTTCGGATTCAAGTTTGTTCTGAAAGGAACACTTGCTGCCACTGTATAATTGAAAATAGACGTGTAACGCTTCGGTTGAGGTACATCTCAACTCCAAGAAGCGGCTCGGTTAACACCTGTTTCACTTATCGACCGACTTACGGAACCCAGTGCTCCCCACATAAATTGGTTGTGTATGTTCCGCGCTGAGGAAACTGGCGAAAAGCCGATGATGTTTCGAGGTGGATACCGTACAGAGTACATCCATCCTCTAAATGTAAGTGTACCGGAAAGTCCGTCGTTCGAACCCGACCTCTGCCACTCGATTTCTCCTGTCTAGGTTTGGGCAACCTGGCAGTATTCCAGCCCTCGTGCCTCCTTCGTGTGGCATGGCAGCTAGGCCATGAAAGGGTACTACAGCTGGACGATTTTTTTATTTTAAGCCTCTTATCTAAGACAGTTGAGTGGCCTCTTCGTGATTCACTTCGGATTCTGAAGTTGATGTTACCTGATGCATCCTACCACAGTTGTTGATTTGAAATTCGACTTTAGGTAGTGAGATGTAGAACCGTTTTTTCGTCTTAGCGAAAACGCAACAATGTGGGAGCACGCCGATTCCGATTGGATCTTGAGTTCGCGTTTCCCACTCAACTACCGGGTTCAAATTGCCCCCACTACTGCGTTGTTGCCTTGTTAATCTCTACTTTCAACGGAATTCCGGCTTCTCTCCGAACCATATGATCCCATTTTAGGAACGACAGCGATTTGAATCTATTCTCGGAGAAATTTCACGCGTTGAATGAACTGTCACCGCTGAAAGTGAGTGTTTGGTTTTCGTATTTGGTCAAAGTTTTGGCTCTAGATATAGAACCGATTTCGGCTGAGTCGCTCATTCGATCTGGTGCCGCGCGCTTTGTTCGATGAAGTGAACCTGTGTCACCTGTGGCGTAGGCGTGACATCAGCTTCTCTGCCAAGGGTCGAGTTTACGATGATGCGGTGCGCCCCGTATTACTATGTGGATCAGAAACCTGGCCGCTGCGCACCGAGGGGGTCAAAAGACTTCCAGTGTTTGACCATCGATGTCTTCGTAGCATTGCCCGATTCTGGTGGGAACACCGGATCAGCAATGCTGAAGTTCGTCGAATGGTATTCGGGAGAAATAACTCACCCTCGATAGATGAACTGATCACACTGCATAGGTTGCGCTGGCTTGGCCACGTGCTGCGTATGCCAGTCGACCGACTCCCTCGAAGGGCTCTTTTCGCACAACCAGGTGAAGGGTGGAAGAGAGCCAGAGGCAGTCAAACGACTTGGCAGCGAACTACAAAAGCCAAGACCAGCAAACTCAGCTGCGCTGGTCACTGCCGTCTTTCTGGATGGGGACCCCGAGACGGGCCACATCAATGGCTAGAGACATTGTCAGACATGGCGCAGTCACGCCATCAATCGCGCTCATGCATCCGAGCTATTGCCTTCATTGCATAGCTCCCTTCCCACTCCCCCACTTAACAGTCCTGTATTTACGCATTAATTTGTCAGCTCCCGCCTCCGATGCGCAGCTACCTACCCCACCTCCCCGAATCATCGGTGAACGAAACTGTGGCAGCTACAACCACTGTAGGACAAGTACGCGGCTAATACAGTTGACAATGATGATGATGATCTACTAAGTTGGCGGTTGCTTAGAAGACCCACTTAGGATCCTGGGGCGCATCCTAGAGAAAGTGCTTGCCCAAACTGGTCCGTCCACATCCAGTCATCATACTGATCTAGATTCCCTCAACTTTCGGAAGTTATTGTTTAGTCACGAGACACACCTCACGTGATTTATAGCACATGTTCCATCTGCTCAATGTCACACGTCATCCAGGTTCATCAGCGCGAGCTTACTTGACGTCCATTTGAAAAGAGTTATCCACATTACATGCCTGTTGGCTCGAGTTTGAGACTGTCTTTCGAGGAAGTATTACTTTGAACATCCTCTCTCATTCTGCTTTTTTTCTGACAACTTTTATTGAAGAAGCCCGCTTTATCACGTTGAAATTCTCAGAGTACGAAACTCCCTCCAACTAATGGCTCTTCCTATGAGGGACCCTCCAAGATAATCTTGTGCCTGTGACTTCTCTAATATGGCCGAGGTTTCTTGGCTTCTTCGAGGTCGTACGACAGAATATTCAGTACCATGGCGGTGGTCGAAATCTTGCTGGCCTTACTCAGAAATGTCTCAGTGTGTCTGCACAGCTGTTGATCACACAGCGTTTCGTTACTGTTCAACTACAATTTTTTTCAATTAAGCCTTGTATAGAAATTGGAAACAAGCGCATCGTTGACACCTGCGTTTTGCACTGTCCCAAATCAAGCACAGGGGGGGTCGCACTTCAGAAGATGAGGCGCACCGACAATACTCAAACATTCTGTAATCAATTTGATGCCCTGACCTACAGCTGTGCCACCCGGAATATGGAATGGAAAACATCAGTCAATCTTTTCCCCTAGATGCGCTGCGTACCACAAAGTGCTCACGGCGTGTAGTGCGAGGCCTCTAATGCGCATACATCGGGTACTTCCTCCACGCTAGCCTTTCTTCGCTAAGGTACACAATTTGCACAGGAGCCCAGAGATAATTGGGGAGTTGACAGTCAAGCTTCAGTGACAACACTGATGTGGCTGTCTTTGATAATGATGAGCAAGCAACCATGGTTGTGCTTACCTGAGGCGGATGGGTCAGAGACCAATGAAGCTGGAGAACAGTTGACTCTTTCAATCTGACTGTCACTGACCGTCCCTCACTGAACTGTCAATATGGACTAACCCAGTCCACGGAATAAAATTCACGTATCTGAAGCAACGGTTCGTTCATTCTAAGCGGTATCATTCAACCTTCGTTTCATCCATTCGTTTTCGAGTTACGAATTGCATCCTGTGTAGCCTCGCTTGTTGCCTCCGTGCTCCACCCGAATTCATCTGTAATGGCTTCTCCTGGCCGCGCATATCCTGTTGCTTCCTACCCAATATCACGCTATCCCATTTCCGATGGGTAGATGGAACAATTGAGGCTTTGTTTTCACTCACCGTTTGCATGTCTATCCGGATAACCGTCCGATTCACTGCCCCCTCCTTCCCCACTCCATTCCCATTGTTCTCCACATGATTACAACTTCAAAAACCCGTGCATCGCATTTATTTCCCTTATGATGCATTTGTCTGATTCAGGTTGTCTGATTGAGTACAGTTCTGACTGAGATACTGAAAAGAAGTGCTTTCCAAATGTTTCGGAATCGTCTAGGGGAATTGTGTCCTTTTCGGAGGTATGACGGGGTTAATGAGTTCCTTTCATCAAGTACCATTCTTTTTGTCCCACGGCATACTTGTTATATTTCAATCAGGAATGAAGATTTTGTCGGTCTGTTGTAACAAACAGTGTAATCCAATTTGGTTTCAGGTAGAACATAAGGTTGACGGAAACTCGGGGACTGCGCCCACCTGATGAGCCCCAAGAAGGGCGAAGCTGGTCTTGGGCTGTCGAAGAGTTTTCAGCAACCTTGTGAATAGTTTCCTTTATGAAAACAGTGCAATCGTTTATAGAAGGTAACCTTTCGCTGCTCCAGGAAAAAAAAACAATTAGCGGCGTTTTGCCTCCAGGTCGAAGCCACCACTCTTCTCTCCTCCGGAACCGAAGAGGAGGCACTTTGTGGTTCTCGAAACGATCGGTTCACTTCCCAAAGGGAAGCGCCACAACAGAACTGTTCCATACTACTGGTACAAACGGTTGATGTATTAAGTAGTGTCGGTATACTGTACCAACACGTCAGCAGGCTTCTCCTCATACTGGATTCAACCAAAATAGGACGTCAAGCGAGCCGTACTGCGTACACAACGCCTTTCATTTTTAACATGTCATAGTGACATCTCAAAGTAAACGGGTGGTGAAATCAGACTATAGTATGAATCAAAGCTCGATGGGTCGATATTCTTTAGATGTCATTAACCACAGTAACTTTCATTGCAGTTTTTTGACGAACTGTCTCTTGTGGGTTCTTCTTTCGTTAGTAACGATGCAGCTGCTGGGTTTATGTCGGAAAGGTCGGATTCTTGAAAATGACCTCCAGAATGCGCGGAACCCCGCAGAGACCCAAAAACTCCATCAAAATCTCAGTAAGAAGGCCGGTCGGTCAATCACTTAACCGATTCAGCAAAACCCGATGAGTGTTTGGGCACGTCCCAGAATCACGACCATGATCAGTGTTCAGGCATTTAGGGAAATACGCCCACGTGTAAATCAATCTGGTTTTGCGTGAGACTTACCTGAAACCCATCTGAATCTCTCGTTTATGATGTCTCTAAGCAACTGGGTGTGCTCACCAGGCCGCCTCGTGTTTCAGTTGGTACGATATTCCATATGTCGCAATACATGTGTAGACATAGTACACTTCTCATGGGGTTGTTGAAAACTCTTCGACAGCCCACGACCGGTTTCGTCTTTCTTGGAGCTCATCAGGTAAGCGCAATCTCCAAGTTTCCGTCAACCTGCTGTTCGACTTGAATCCATATGAAATTATTTCCGTCAACCTGCTGTTCGACTTGAATCTATATTGCATGAAATTAGTGAAGTACGCTCATTTGCAAACCACTTTCGTTTGGCGGGAGACTCATCTGGAATCCATCACTTCATAGGCATTTCATAGAAGCACAGTCGATGTTGATGGGTGTTCACTAAACGCCCATCACACAGCCTGGGCCGATGTCAGAAAGTGCCCTTTAAATAGTACGAGGCCGTTTTCCACTCACTTGCTTGCAAAAAAGCTTCCATGTTCTTTGTTGCTTGGCACTGGAGCGGGGACAGCAGTTAGATGCGACAGTCCACATTGCGGTAGTGCGATCCTTAGTGCTCTAGGAATCAGAAACGTGCCCTCCACGTGCAGAGGACGTACGAAAGATGCCGGTGTTTGATCATCGGTGTCTCTGGATTGGGTCTGGTGGGAACATCGCATTAGCAGTGCTGAGGTACGCCAGATGATCCTCGGTAGAAGGGACTATCCGGCAAAAGGTCACACTCCATAGGTTTCTCCGTTTAGGACATGCATGCCTGGGGACCAACTCAACCCCGCACTGACAATGTTAGCTCGATTGGTGCTGAAGCGCAACTGACAGAAATGGCCCAGTCGCGCAGTCAGTGGCGCTCGTACATCAAAGCTATCGCTTGCAGTGCGTAGCTGCCCGTTTCCGACCTACTTGAACATAGCATCGCCTCCAACGGTTGCCTGTGTGCCCCACACTCTCCGACCTCCTGATGATTGAAACTAGCAGCTGGAACCAATGTACTCATAGTACACGATTTATGGCAGATAAATTGATTGAACTGCTGAGCATTATACGGATTTGTCACACTACATCCACAAGCCACAGTCACGAGTATTTATGACTATTGGTATAATACACAACAGCAGTTCCAGGCGAGACAAACCATCACGCTGAGTGGTCACAGAAAGTAAATTCAAATTAGGATGCAGCCACAATTACACTCCATTCTTTCAGTTGTAACACCCTTTCGGTGCCTAGCTGCCATGCCACCTGGAGGAGCACGAGGGCTGGGATACTGCCAGGTTACCGAAGCCTAGACAGGGGAAGTCGAGTGGCAGAGGTTGGGTTCGAACCACGGACCTTCCGGTCGGTCAATTCGCGCTCTAACCACTTGGGCCATCTCGCCCTCCACTCCATTCCCAACAGTCAGCCCTCTCAGCAGAACACACTCCTGCGAAAAGTATATCTAAGCATTCCTCGAAGGGGTTTTCCTTTATAAAGGAAACTACTCACAAGGTTGCTGAAAACTCTTCGGCAGACCACGACCGGTTTCGCCCTTCTTGGGGCTCATCAGGTTGGCGCAGTCCCCGAGTTTCCGTCAACCTTATGTTTCACTTGAACCCAAATTGGACTGTTTTCGAGAAATACACTCATTCGCAAATCTGTTTGGTCTTCACGAGAGACTCAACTGAGGTCTGTAGCACATTTTCGATCACGCGTCTAATCGTCCAATTCGTATGTTCACCCCAGACTGGACTGAACCACCGTCCCTCTGTCTGCATTAGCAACACACACTCATATCTTGTTGCTGGTCCTCCACTTGTTTCGGACAGCAAATTTGCTGGATAACAAATGGATCTCATGATCAACAACAATCGTTTTTCAATTCCCTCCACTTGTTTCGGACAGCAAATTTGCTAGGTAGCAAGTGGATCTCATGACCAACAACAGTCGTTTTTCAATTCGTAGGTTTTTCTCGTGTCCTTCAGTTAGCGACACTGTTGCGGCACTGTTTGATTGGTTCGTCGAACTTGGAATTCGGGTTGCAAACGTTTCATCATCGGTCAAAGTGACATTCCCGATCGCGGTCTGATGATGTCACCTCGATTAGTGATGAAACGTGTGCGATCCCATTGCCAAGCTTAGAAAAGGGACCGACAATGAAGGCCTGTGGTGTTGAACATAATCTTTCTCACGATCCGCAAACCTGGGATGGCGTTCACCAATAGGCGTCCGAATGGCCCATCGAAGGACTTCCGGAATACACGCAACACTAAACGGCGTTGTTTTCCGTGCTCAGTTAGAAGTGCCGAGAATTAGTGACGAAAGAAATATGATCTGGTAGAATAGAGTGACAGATGTCATGAGAGAACTTGGTGCTCTCGCTACAATTCACCTCTGTGTGCTGAGTTTGTCCACTCTTCAGATGAGGTTCGTGTCTCATCTCGGTTTTTCCTTCCGAGAGTGTCCGTCCCTCATGTCGGGTTCGTCTTACTAACGAGGTTGGTCAGTCCTGCAGGTTTTGTGTTAGAATACAAGTGGGAACTTGTTCCCCGTGAGTTCAACTGTTGTGCTGGTGATGGTGTTGCGTGGCTCACCGCCACCTCATGGTCAGATTTCTGAGGGTTATAGATGTCTTCTTGTCTCGCTGAGGTACCGGTAAGTGCGACTGTTGTTTTGCCCCCCTATGGTAACAAAATTTCAACCAGTTAACTGTTTCATAGTGCACTGAAACCAGGATTCGTCCGTGTCCTTCAATTCCTCGTTTTAGATTGACCAACCGTCGAACATGGAATTTGTTCGTCGCCTGGCCAAGGTCTCACAAGGTCAGCTTGCCCCTTTGTGTGCGTTTTTCGGCGGAGTTGCAGCGCAAGAAGCGATGAAGGCGCTTACCGGGTCTTTCACACCGCTCAACCAGTGGGTAAGTCCTGAACAATGCGTTGGTTTACACTACACTGGGTGGGAAATCCCAATACGATCCCGTTGATAAAACGGTCGTGATTTTACCTCGAATGGACGATTTCTCCAATAGCCGCTCAGCGGCTATTGGGCGCTAGAACACCAAACTCAATGAGCGAATGAACGCTGCGGTCTCAGTATGAAAAAAAAGCAGAAACAGATTCTCTACCAACGGTTCTTCTGTTTTGGCCAAGCGCTTGGGGGCAGACATCACTTGGAGTAGGGTTTTTTTGTTTCGCGATATTTTGAACTTCAGATTTTCTGGAAGTTCGGCTTCATTGAAAACAGTGACACTGATTTGGCTGGGCGTTATTAATATGTGGCACAGAAATCGAGTTAGTGGCCTCCGAACAGGACGTACAGCAATACTAGTTCAGATCGAATGGTGTCACTCCTTGTCTGTCATCAACGCCTGTGACTTCATGCCAGTGTGAATGAACGTGACCAGCCAACGCATCACGAACAACAATTGGTCGCGCGTTCGGTCACGTTGGGTCTATCTTTATGGCAATTCTAAGAAAGACCATTCTTCAGTGGATGCCGCCAGTGTTGGGCCTCCATCGGTGGATTTTTTGGGAGGACCCATTTCGAACGCGGACCAGTTTCTGGAACACATTTTGGCTGAAATTCATTTTCAGTGAACTGAAAACGGATCAGCCTCCGTGCAACCGGGTGACGACCTGAAACAGTTAGGAACCCAACCTTTAGCTTTACTGCTCTGCGAATCCAAGTTTACATCAACTACCTTACACCTGATGCTGACCAAAATGAAAGCTGTTCACACTTTTGGCTTCATGTGATGAGCTCAAACGGATCGAAGCTATTGGCTACGGGTGCTCAGAACAGATTTGTAGCACAAAAGCAAAAGGATCTCTCTTTTTCGAGATGGCTCAGTGGTTAGAGCGCCAATTTACTAACCGGAAGTTCCGTGGCTCGAACCCAACCTCTTCCTCTCGACCTCCTCTGTCTAGGATTGGGCAACCTGACAGTATCGCAACCTGCGTGCTTCCTACGAGTGGCAAGGCAGTTAGGCACCGAAAGGATGCTACAGCTAAACGATTTTTTTCTGACAACCAGAAAGTTCACCTTAACGTTACAGTCACTTTTTGAAGGGATCTTATATGTGCTGAACCCCGATCTACGGTCGACAGCTGCTGCGTCGGGTAATACATTCGAGGTATCAGTACGACCAACCCATAGGTCAGTGACGGATGTATTGACGGCGAAACAGTTTGATATGTTGGGATCCCTGTGATTATATATATGTATATATATATGTATATATATATATATGTGTGTGTGTGTGTACGGGTGTATAAAT